AGAGCGTCGTTCCTGAGTTCGGGGGCCTTCCTGGCCAGGGTGTCTCGGGGTAAATTGTTGCGCAGTATCGAGCGGGAGCCGTTGTCGTCGTAGCTGGGCCTCCAAGGGCACACTTTTACAGTCAAGCCAACGCTCGAGCGGGAGCCTCGTTTTCAAAGAAAATGTAGCCAGCGTCGAGGCGAGAGCGCGCGGAACCGCTTCCATAATCAACAGTAAGTATTCTCTAGAAGCGAATATTACACAACAAAAACAAACAACAAATAACAACAAACATCAACAATACAGACATGAGGCCAACGCTAAATTGGAAACGCGGAGGAGGAGGAGAAGGAGGAGGAGGAGGAAGAGGAGGAGGGGCCCACCAGGCTATTCACCTCAGGTACTTGTGGGCAGGGTTTGCGGACGTTCCCCACCTCGACTTCCCTTCCTCTTGGCATCGTTCGGACGTGTCGGCGACGACCAGCGAGGAACATCTTGGATTATCTTGCGAGACGTAAGCGCACGAAACCCACAAATGCACGGGGAATGGACGTCCTAGCGGCGGCACGCCTTTCACTGTCCACCCTTCGTCCATCCGCCCACCCCCTCCTGCACCACCAGCAACGACCAAACTCCAGGACCAATATGGGACGAATGAGGCTCGTGTTACAACAGACAGCACAGTCCTCTCGTCTCACAACTACGCCTGGCCAGGAATGCGTGGGGGGGCGTAGAATTGGGAATCTCTGCTATGGAAGATGGACGAGGCTCCTCCCCATGTTGCGCAGTACGCCTGTGGCCCTGCCTCGCTTGTCGAGCGCAGACGGCGCCCAGGCGGCGGGGCCCCATTTACTTTTTCTTTTGAGGAGTGTTTTTGCAATCGGGAGGAGGAGGACCTTCGCCTGATTGTATAACTCCCTTCAAGGCCGACTGAACCAGGAGGGGGATGATCACGTCCGTGCGGTCTTCAGATCATCAGCTTGTCAGGGGGAAGATTAGGAAACCCAGTGTAATCCCATGACTCATCAACGATGCCGCAATAAACCCTCCTTTCAAGTTCCCTCTTCACATGTCCCTCTAAAGATTGATCTTCACGGGTGGAAGCGCCCCATGGGCAGACAACCGATTGAGAATCTTCAGTTGTGGCAAGCGCGCGCAGCCCTTTAGAAACCAGCGCCGCGAATGAGCTTTATTGTTGCGTCCTGATGATCCTGCATTTCGTCAAAACGCCGTCGTTGGGATTTTCACACCGCGAATCAACGTGACGGCTTCGCCTTGACAATTTGTAATCGTACCGGAACACAATTCTTGGGACGTTAAGCGTGCGAGTTGTTAATTTTCCATACATTTTAAAAATCGAATGTGCGCGGCGCGGGCGAGAGCCACATGTTGGACAGGAGACGCCTTCCATCCGTGAAGCTCTTGCTCAATTTTAATGCGAATTCGCGCGGCGCTCGGGCGAGACCCACATTTTGAAAACCACCCGCTTTCCATCCGTGAACCTCTTGCAGCGTGCTAAGACGAATGTGCGCAACGATGAGACGAGAGCCGCATTTTGAAAACTGCCCGCCCTCCATCCGATAAGTTTCTAGCACAGTTTCAAGACGAACTTGCCCAGCGCCCAGGCGAGCGCCAGATTTTGAACAGGAGCCGCGTTCAACCCGTGAAACTCTGGCAATCTTTTAAAACGAATGCGCGCGGCGCCCAGGCGAGAGCCACAGTTTGAAAGCAACCTTCCCTCCAATCGCGAAGCTTTCGCACAGTTTGAAGACTGATGTGTGTGGCGCTGGGACGGGAGCCACATTTTGAACAGGACCGCCTTCAAACCTTGAAACTCTTGCACACAATTAAACCGACTGCGCGCGGCGCTGAATCGAACGCCACATGTTGAGCACTACCCGCCGTCCACCCGCGAAACTTGCAAATGTTTAAAGCGAATGCGCGCGGCGCCAAGGCGAGAGCCACATTTTGAAAGCGGCCCGCCCTCCATGCGTGAAGCTGTTGCAACGTTTCACGACGAATGTGCGTGGCTTTCAGGCGAGCGCAACACTTAGAACAGGAGTCGCCTTAAATTCGTGAAACGGTTGCAAGTCTTAAGACGAAGGGGCACGGCAGCAAGGCGAGAACCAGATTTTAGGAATCATTTTCCGTTCATCCATGAAGCTCTTACAAACCTTTACGATGAATGCGCGTGGCGCGCAGGCGAGAGCCACATTTGAACAGGAGCCGGCCTCCAATCCGTGAAGCCCTTGCAACGTTGTAAGACGAATGCGTGTGGCGGTCAGGCAAGGGCCACATTTTGAAAACCAGCCGCCTTCCATCCGCGAAACTCTTGTAAAGCTTCAAGACGAATGCACGCGGCGCTGAGAGACACATGTTAAACAGCACCCGCCCTCAATCCTTGAAGCTGTGGCAAATTTCAAGCATCAGGTTCATCAGTGGTGGAGAAATGTCTTAGGCGAAACCCCTGGCCCGCCCTGTCGACACGTTTCAGGGCGCGACAGGGAGTTGTTTATAAGGAAATGGGATCGGGGGGGAGGGGGAGGAGAGGGGGAAGGAGGACACAGAGATGGAGAAGGACACATCTAGGGAGGCAGAGGAAGGGGAGAAGGGGGAGAGGCAGGAGGAGAAGGAGAAAGAGGAGGATGAGGAGGGGTGGGGAGGAGGAAAAGGAACAGGAAAATGAACGACGGGGAGGCCTCCGAAGCCCAGTTTGTCGGTCGACGGCGGCTGGCTCGATGGCGAGCCGAGTGGTCAGAACGGGGGGGCGCAAGCGACTTTCGGGGGTGGTGTTCGGACGTTTCGGAGTTCTCTGCAGTCTCCCAGCATCGGGAAGCCTTCCAGCAGCTGCGCCTCGCCGAGAGCATCTGGGGAGGGGGGGGTGCAGATCGCCCCGAACTGCCCCGGAGACCCCACCTGTGGCCCGAAAGCCAAGGGGCAACGTTAAGAGGGGATAGGCTCATGGGGGAATGCATCGGCTGCAGCCGCGCCCATGGGGGCCAGTGCTCATAAGCGGCTGATGGTCATTAGGGCCTCGATGCCCCGCTTCGCCCAGGGAGCCATCGCCCACTTATCGGCGATGCATCGCCGACTAAGTCGATGTTTCACCCACCCCCTTCGAGAAGGTCCCCCCTGGCTTTGTCCCTCTGGTGGGGTGTGGAGGGAGGAGGGTGGTGCGGTGAGCGCCAATCGCGCGATCCGTTTCCCCATCGTTGTGTCTGGCACGCACGTTCTTGCAGGAACAAGCATCTTCACTCGAGGCTAAGGCCATCGCCATGGACGAGTGTACCCAAGCACTGGTGCGTCTCGTCCCGCAGGGCACGCGGCCGTCAGGATCATGACCTGGCTTGGCATCGCTGAAACGTGTGTGTGTATATATATACATATATGTCACATTTTACATGTTTAGGCATAGCCCATCCTGGATCCCGCCGCAACTGCCACGCTCAAGTCTTGAAAGAGCGCGGTCCGCCCGAGCCCATGCGATCTGGGCTCAGCCTTCACTTTCTGTGCCACCTGAGCGCCATAGGCCTGGCGCGCTGGTGGTGGGCGCCGCCCGCTGCGCCCCCGCCTCCGCCGCAGGCGGAGCCGCCCGCGCGGGCTGCTCGCGTGGCGGGCCCGAGCGAGGCCGAGGACGAGGCCACCCACGTGCCCTTGTCCGAGTGCCTGGCCGCGGCGCTGGAGGCGAGGGGTCCGGGCTTGATCTGCCCTGAGCCGTGTACCCCTTGCCCGGCCTGCGAGGCAGGCGAGGCGAGCTGGACGCTCCAGCTGGGCATCGGGCTGCTGGCCTACCTGCTGCTGGAGGCGCTGAAGGCGGTGGTGGGCTTGGCTTCGAGCGCGGCGCGGGCTGTCCTGCCGGCGGCGCGTGCGGGGCCTGCTGCCCTCAGCGAGCCGACGCTGGACCAGGGCGTGGCGCCGGACCTCGACAAGCTCGCGGCCGAGCAGGCCAAGGCCAGCCGGGGCCGCAGCCGGTGCCAGGGGATCGGCAACCTCGGTGACTTCTGATGGCTGGATCCTTCTATTGTGTGCGGTACAGTGTGCCGGGGCCGCTGCTGTGGCATGAGCGGCTCACGCTGGGCGAGCGCGGGGCCCTCAGCTACATCCTGACGCCGGACTTCGACGACTACGACGAGCCGAACGCGCCGGGGCCTGACGTGGCGGCGGTGGTCCGCCTGGCCGGGCAGGGTGCCAACCCTCCAGGCCTTGCGGGCGGTCACGTGTACCGCTTCCGGCGGCTCCCGACAGCTGCGGAGGCCTGGGGCGCGGTGGGGCGAGCAGTGGCAGCCGGCTTCCCGCCGCCGCCCCCGGGAGCGTTGATGCTGGACCTCGCGGCCGGCAATATCCTCGGGGTGGCGGCCGGACAGCACGCGCTGGCCAACCCGGCTGCGGCAGCGGCGCCGGCCCCAGCGGCTGCTGGCGCGCTGGTCGCTGCGCCGGCCGCTGCCGCGCCCGCCGCCGCCGGCGCGGCAGGAGGCGGTCTCGCCGGCCTCGTGGCTGCCCTCGGCGGCCCCGCAGGCGGGCCTGGGGCGGCGGCGGCTGCTGGCGCGCCGGCCGCTGCGGGAGCACTGGCCGCTCCTGCTGTGGATCCGGGCGCGGCGGCGCCAGCCGCAGACGCGGCGCCTGCCGCCGCTGGAGGTGCTGCCCCAGCCGCGCCGGCGGCGCCTGCCGTGGTCGGCGTCGGGCCCGCCGCCGCCAACGCGCCTGATCTGCGCGTGCTGGCCGCCACCCATGATGGGCGTGGCCAGCGGTTCTTGGACTTCCGCGAGGGCCTGCTGGCGCAGTCGGAGCACGCGTGGGCCGACTTCCCTGTCAGAGGACCGCGGACCACGCACTGGGTGCTGCAGTACATCCAGCGGCACGGCGGTACGCCGCTCGCGCGGCATTCGCGCTGGAGGAGCGAGAACGGGCTCGATCCAGATGACGCTGGGGTCGAGGTTCACTTGCTGTGCAGTCGCCTCTTGGAGACCATGATCTCGTACGATCAGCTAAATGCCTGTGACTTGGCTTGTGCCGAGCTGATCGCGAGGACGCTCCAGGTGCAGGAGGAGCGGTACCGCGCGCGCAGCAGCTCGTCGGAGCCCGAGAACATCAACCGCGATCTCATGATGGGGACCGCCGAAGTTCGAGGAGATGTATGCGTGGCGCCCTCCCTCCAGCAGTACGTGTCCACTGAGCTCGCGCGTGAGGTGGCGGTGCAGAAGGAGCTCAGGAAAGCTCGTGAGGAGCGTCAGTTGGCTGCTGGCGCGGCGGGCGGCAACGACAAAGACAAGGGCAAGAAAGGCAAGAAGGGCAACAAGGGCGAGGGGTGAATGTACGCCAGGTGGAGGCTCGGGGCCCGGCCTTCACCCTCGATAGCCTTGAAGGGCTGCAGGGTCCACCCGGCCTCCTGAAGGTCGGCGGCACGAAGCATCGGCGGGATGTTCCTGATGGGCGGCACCGTGACATCTTCCCTCTTCCTATTCCTGAATCTCTCGAAGCCTCACCTGCTGCTGGCCCTCTGTCGCGTGCTGTGCGTCGTCGGGTTCTCCGTGCCGAACACGATAAACACCTCATTCGTGATTGCATCGCGACGCTCAACAAGACCTACGGCCGTGCCTCCCTCGGTAGTGAGTTCTCGAATGCCGGGCAGAAAGCAGCAGTAGATAATATTATTGCAACCTGCCGCGCGGTGGGGGCCCCTCCTGTGGACCCAGCCGCGCCGCACCTCTTTTCCAAGGGAGCCCTTTCGGCGCTTCTTGACGGATCCGCCCTGTACTCATCAGATGGGGGGGCGGTGACATCCTTCAGTCGAGACCTCGTCTCTTGGCCCACTGGGCGGACCGACCCGGTCCCTCTGGAGTCGCTCGCTTCTGGGCCTGTTTTGAAACAGCTGGAGGCTTGGCAGCACCAAATGCTTCGCCCGGAGTCGGAGGCCCGGGCCCTGCAGAAAGAAATTTGCCCGCGGGGACCTCATGTGGATCCCGTCCTAAAGAATTCGCCGTGGCGGTATGCTGAGTTTTTAGCAGATATGTCTTCTCGGGGAATGCTGTCCTGGGAGCGCGCCATGGGGCGTCAAGGCAATCTGGGTTTGTTTTTTGTGAAGAAGAAAAGCGGCGCTCAGCGCATCATCTTCGATACCAGAGTTGCGAATTGCAGGTTCGTCGACCCACCGTCGACGCGCCTCCCTTCCCCTTCTGCGTTCGCCTCTCTCGAGGCCGAGGGGGGCCCTCTGTATGTAGCGAGCGGGGATCTGGATGTGGCTTTTTATCATATGCAGTTGCCTAAAGGAATGGAGCATATGTTTAGTTTGCCCTGTATAGATTCCTCTTATCTGCAGAAGTTTCACATTCTTGGTGTCCCTGACGGGGCCGGCGTAACTATGTTACCTTGCGTACGGGTGCTTCCTATGGGCTTCTCATGGGCTCTCCATCTATGTCAGAACGTCTTGGAAGGGGCTTTGGACAAAGGGGGCTTCAAAAGGGACGAGCAGGTGTTGGACGGCAGGCCGGGAGTGGTTCTTAGATATCCTGGGGACACCGCGTCGGCCGCATATGTGGACAACTTCCTCACCTTGGGGCATGACCCGGGGGCCGTGGCCAGTCGTCTCAATATTGTCGTCAAGCAGTTGAGGGGCCTGGGCCTCGTCGTCCACGAGCTTGAGGGTGCCAGCAAGGATCGTGAATTCTTGGGGATGTCGCTTCGAGGTGGTCGTTATCTTTCGGTGAAGAGTCGCAACATTTGGAGGCTTCGGTATGCCTTGGATGACTTGCTGGCCAGGCCGAGGGTGAGCGGACATCTCTTGCGTGTTATCGCCGGTCACATCACTTGGACGAGTCTGGTGCGCCGCGAGTGTCTGTCCTTGCTGCATGCCACGTACGCGTATATCCAGTCCGCTGGCCCCACACCCTGTTGTTTGTGGTCCTCCGTGAGGCAGGAGCTCGAGAGCGTCCGCAACTTGTTGCCATTGTTATGCGTGGACCTGCAGGCTGATTGGCATCCCTACGTTGCGTGTACAGACGCGTCGCCGTTCGGTCTTGGGGTCGTCCGCCGCAAGATGAGCCCGGTCCAGGTCCAGGAGCTAGGTCGGCAGAAGGAGAGGTTCCGTTTCAAGATCGAGGGTGGTGCTCAGGCCCGTCGTAGGGCCTTGGAGGAGGTGGGGATGGACGAGGAGACCAAGATGATCTTGGAGCGGGAGGAGGGGCCTTTGTGGGCTTTGAACGAGGAGGAGCCTGATCCGAGCACAGGGGAGTTCTTGGAGGTGCCTAGGCAGCTTCTGCGTCCGGGGTGCTGGAGCTGTGTATCGGCCACACATGTCGAGATGGGGCCCAACATCCTGTTTCTTGAGGGAGAGGCCCTGGTCATGGGCTTCAAGAACGTCCTGAGGAGCTGCAGGGCCCACGGTCGTCGTATCCTGATCCTCTCGGACAACCTTCCCCTGGTATTGGCAGCGGGCAAAGGACGGGCCAAGTCAGTTCACCTACGACAGTGTCTGTATCGTATATGTGCTCTATCGCTGGCAACGGGCTCGAGACTCGCCGTCCGGTGGGTTCCGTCGGAGCTCAACCCGGCCGACCCGGTCTCCAGAGGCGAGGTCGGCTGGTTCTCAGGCGCGCGCTCATATGGCCCGTCCGGGCCGCATGACGGCCTCGCGGTTGCTGCTGCTGACGCTGGTCGCGGGCTGCGGGCTCCTGCTGCCGCCCTGCGCGCAGGGGGCGCGGACGTCCCGGGCGCCGGCGGCCTCCGCTCTGAAGCGCGAGCGGGCCCAGGCGGCTGCACAGGTGGCTCGGGCCGCGCTGCGGTTCACCGGGCTGTCGACCCTGGAGAATGCCGCGATCCTGCCCTCGACGGCCAAGAACTACCAGATGGCTCTCGTGGCCTTTGCGGCCTTCTGCTCGGCGCGCCGCCGGGACTGGAGCTCGACATCGGAGCTGGACGCGCTGCTGGTGGAGTACTTCGACCAGATGTACCTCCTGGGCGAGAACGGCAACACGGGGTCCCAGCTCCTGGCGGCGCTCAGCCATGTGATGCCGGTCTTGTACAAGGCGGTGCCTCGGGTGCTGCCGCGGGCCAAGCGGTGCGCCATCGCGTGGGCCCGCCGGGCTCCGGCACACACGCGGCTGCCGCTGCCGAGGTGTGCTTGCTTTGCGATCGCGGGCATGCTGGCCAGCTGGGGCCAGGCGCGGATGGCCATCTGCGTGATTCTGAGCTTCCTGTGCTACCTGCGGCCTGGCGAGGCGCTCCGCCTCCGGGGCCGCAGCCTGGTCCAGCCAGCCGCGGCCGCGGGGCAGGTGTACGACAAGTGGGCGCTCCTGCTGCACGACGTGGTCGATCGTGTCCCGAGCAAGGTCGGCCTATTCGAGGAGTCGGTGATCATCGACAACGCGAGCTGGCTCTTTCGGATCCTCGAGGCCTTGAAGCTGGCCACGCCAGCCGAAGCCTCTCTCTGGGATTTCGACCTCGGCGAGTACAAGAGGGCGTTCGGCGAGGCGGCCAAGCACCTGTCGCTGAGCCGCCTCCGCCCGCACCTGTACTCGCTCCGCCACGGGGGGGCCTCGGAGGACATCATCCGCGGGCTCCGCACGCCGGAGCAGGTGCAGCGCAGGGGCAGATGGGGCCACAGCAGCAGCATGAAGCGGTACGCGAAGGAGTCGAAGCTGCTCGCCGAGCTGCACTGGGTTCCAGCCGCCACGCTGTCTTTCGGCAAGTTGGTCGAGGCGAACTTCAGGGCGGTGATCGAGGGCGCCCTGGCCAGCGGCCCGCATCCGCTGCGCTCCCAGCTGCCTGCCGCCCTGGCCAGCCTGGTCGGCGCCCGACCCAGCCTGGCGGCGGCGGCCAGCCGCGGCCGCAAGCGGCGCCGCCGCTGATAGCGGCCCCGGGGGCCGTGCGGGCCCACATGCCGGCGGCTTTCCGCAAGGCTGTAGGCGCGGGGCGGCTGCACAGGCGGTTCGTCTTCGTCGAGCTGTTCTGCGGCAAGGGCTGCATCACGGCATCGCTGAAATCTGACGGCTTCTCGGCAATCGGGTTCGACATCGGCCGCGGTGCTCACGAAAATCATTTGGTGCATGAGTTTTTTGAGGTGCTTCATGGATGGGTCACATCCGGCTGCATAGCCGGCATTTGGCTCGGGACGCCTTGCACGACGTGGAGTCAGGCTTTGCGCCGGCCTCTGCGCTCGCGGCGGCATCCCATGGGGCTGCCTGGGCTTTCCGCGAGCGAGCTGGCGAGGCTGGAGGTGGGCAACTCGACCTTCAAATTCACTTGCAAGGTCATCCGCCTCGCTATGAAGTGGAAAGTAGCTGTGTACCTTGAGAATCCCGCGGGCTCCTTGATGTGGCACGCTCCTGAACTGGCCCGGCTTTTGCGGGCGCCTTGCGCCCAGAAGATCCAGCTTCACATGTGCCAGTACGGGGCGCCGTGGCGGAAGGCGACCAGCGTCGCCGCATGGAACTCGCTGCCGTTGCTGAACCTCAGTATCCGTTGCTCTGGTCGATCTGGTATTTGCTCGATGTCTCAAAAACCACATGTGATTCTGTCCGGGCACGCCCCTCACGGTCCTCACTTCACTCGTCTGGCGGCTGAATACCCCAAAGCGTTCGCCCAGAAGTTTAGTCGTGTGATGCAGCGATCGTTCGAAGATAAACGTGCTCGGAGGTTTTCAAAGTATGCAGTTGATATGGCATTGGGTTCATAAGGAAGTTATTCGGCCTCCTTCTGACTATCGACCAGTCGGCCAGTTCACCATACGGGTATGGGTGTGTGCTCTCGGCTCGGCGTTCCTCGGCATCGATGTCTCGAAGTCACTTGCCTGGTCAGCCCCTCACACAAAAATGAGCCTGGCGGGAGAGAACGGTAGGCGAGCTGTCACATTTTACATGTTTAGGCATAGCCCATCCTGGATCCCGCCGCAACTGCCACGCTCAAGTCTTCCCTCCCTCCCCCCCCTCTCTCGCGTGCCTCTGTGGGTGTGTGTCTGTGCTGTGCTTCTCTCTCCGTTCCCTCCTCTGTTATATTGCTCAGCAAGCTGTAAACGCAATTTCTTTAA